CAGTATAGAGGTATGCTATCAAATTTGGTAGCATTAGTCACATATGGCCATGGAAATTTGAAAGATTAAATAAAAGAAAGCTAGGAATTCAATCAGTTGCAGTAGTGGCATTTCATATGCTCAGTAGTCACATGTATGAGGAATAGAATATGATTTCTATCATTGTAAAAAGCACCATGGGACAACACTGTCATATAACTTGCAGTTCTCTTGTGAAGATCTAGTTGCTGATAAGATGCTTCCTGCCCCAAACATCAGAGTGATGTATAGAAATTGAACTTCAACAAACACACTCCTGAACATTTTCCAAGATAAATTTAGTATTTGTCCTGAGCTATCGATTCAAAGTACACAATGCGTGTACAGAGTTTATGCCATGTCACTCATTGCAAATTACCAGTTCTAAGTCATTGTCCATGTACTGTATTCCTGGCACTTGACGTACATTTTCCCTCACTCAACTCTAGTAGTAGATGGTGAATTGAATATTATCCACTGTTTTCCTACAACTCAGTAAATACAAACAGCATGCCCCAGGTCTTACAGTAAAGGACAGAGCTGACTGTGGAATGGCCCCTCATGTTGACTCTGATAGGTGTGCTTTGTGTCACTAACTTGAGAACTTAGTAGCAAAGCAGTTGGCAATAAGCAAATATAAGTTTGTCCACACAATCTGAAGTTCAGCCGAAGGCAATTCTATTTCTCTCTGCTATCTACTCTTGATAGCTTTCTCCCTCATTGTCTTGGCAAAGCTGATTCAAATTTTCATCTTTCTAAGACGTAACGCTTGTTTGTGTCCTTCTTAGTCCTTATGCCATTCGTGTTTTTTTTCCATTTCCAGTTTAGTGTGCAGGCATACACTAAATATTTCTGTCTAGTAACTATCTGTGGGCAGGGCTGGGTCTCTGCAGAGCTGAGAAGCACAGGGTTCCAAAACACAGATGACGGGTGACAGCTTGTGACCATGAGGCAGTCTCCTCAGAGGAATCGCTGCTTCCTTTTGTTGGTCTAAATTTTGTTTCCCAGCTTCCCTAATGATCCTGCCAATCTGTCTCTTATCTGATTTAGGATGCCAGAGAACTATTTAAAAATAAGATAGATTTTTCTCCTTCTAATAGTCATTTTTTTACAAGGTGCTATAGTGGCGAGCCTGTTGCCTCTCATCTGCCTCCTGGGGGAAATTGAAGTCACCTTGCCTGATAGTTGAAACTGTTGGCATCCAATTTTATACAGAAAATGTGAAGGAAAGAGAATTTTAAAACAGAACTTTTTACTGGGACACACACACACAGCAGCTACTGCTAGGAGGGTATCATCAAACACCAACACTGCCCCAAATTGGTAGCATTTATTTTCTAGTTCAGTCTTGAAGGGAATTTGCAATTGCGAGTGTCTACAGAAGTTGAGGCTCACTAAGATTTAGATGACCCATTTCCCTTATCTAATGAATTCAGGCCCCAGAAACTTTGCAGAAGCTTTCAACTGACAAAACACCAAGAGAGTCGATGTGAAATTGAAAGACAGCTGGTGTGGACGCTCAGCTTCTGGAGTTTAGCTCAGGAAGCTGTAAAATTGCACAGCTGCCCAACTGTCAGAATGAAGATTCTGGAGTGAAGATAGTCAAAATATTGCTAATAGACGAAGAGCTCCCTGCCTAAAGCCTTTGCTCAGCAGAAAAGAGGTTTCGTTTTAAATAATGAATGCACACAACACTTTCACATTTATCTCCTCTGTGCCAAGATGAAATAGGGTAGAATGGTTCTGTCTCCATCAACGCAGGTTAAAAGAAAGTTCAATTTAGTTGGAAGAATATTTAACACTTTTTTTTACAAATGGAAATTCAACTGCTTTGGTTTGGTTTCCTTTTTCAAGCTATCTCTTTCTAAGTCCCTGGGCTTGAGAAGGCTTGAGGACTATTGAGCACATTGCTTTATTATGCAGTAAGAAACTTGTCAGGATGTCTTATAAGAATTCATGTAACAAATTATTAGGTAGAGAAGTAAGCTGGCTGGCCATAGTGTTTCCAGGCAATAAATGATCTCATCAATTACACATTTATATGTCTCTTTTAAGTAAAGCGAAACCCAAACCAAATGGCATTTACAACATAACTGAAGATTTAACTGATGGGAAGATCCCAGGATATTAAAGATACAGTTTTCTGAGCTGTAATTACAAGACTGACTGTCCTTATGAGAACTTACCATTTTGGCTATGTTTTCAAAGGAACCAATTATGGCCATCCATACTGCCCATCACAACTTTTCTGAAACAAGGTAAATAGTAGGAGTAGGGGAATAGGCCAGTAACAGGGTGATGTGTAGCAGGTATAAGGCCTCGGTTTAATCCTCAGCAAAAGAACAATAGTACGACAAAAGCCACTTGTGTTTAATTCATATGGAATTTGCGAGATGCTTGTCAGCACTTTGATTTAAAAATAGTTTTACTCTTTATAATTATGAGACTTTGTAAGGCTGTAACATGAAACACTTAGAAAATGTCAATGTGGTAAAATAAAATGCGCTTGTAGAGTAGCCATGAATCCCTTTCTGTCCTGAAGACTAAGGAAAAGAATCTAGGTTTCTCTCTGGCCTTAACTGAGCACACCCTTTTATTTGTTTCTTCATGTCTACATTCTTCTCTCCTGTGGTGCTTTGTACTGCTCATGGGAATTTCTGCCCATGTGCTTGCTTCCCTGAGAGATGCTGAGCCCCTTGACACAACGAATCAGGTCTTATTCTTCAGCATTGGGTGATCCAGAAATTCAGTGATGACATCAAGGACTACGATTATCCCCATCTTATTATTTACATCTATCTTGATGATGGTTGGTTCTTTTTGTGGTTCTAGGATCATTACCTTTGGTTTCTTGTCAAAATTGCACTTATTCTCCAGTTCTAGGGAGAGAAGGACAGGACAAATTGTATTTACTTCAGTCTGGTGTCATTATTCAGGCCCAGCTTTGGATCACTAATGATTACTAGGTCGATGTCATGCATTAGTTGACCAAGGTCATCAGTTAAAAGTTTCTTACCCAGGTATACCATGTGTCACACAATGCTGTGGTTTCTTAGGGCTCTCTTCTGGAGATGAAACCATTTCTTCATACTTTGATGGAACATTTACTTTTGGAACTGAGGACTGGTCTCAGAAAATGAATTCTGGTTTCCCATTGCTAAGAATGCCATGAATGGTAGCTGGTTCCACACTGTTAAAAGTCACTGCACATGTTTTATTAGACACCATTTATCAAGCCCTTTGACTGGGAACTCTTGGTTCTTGGGACAAACATGTAGAAAAATGATGCTGATTTACAAGATTGAGTTAATTTTTTTCTATTATGTTTTTCCTTGTTGCTGTTTGCTGTTTTTAAAATAACATAATGGCATCTTATTATGCAACATAATTTGGTTTTAAACTTCATAGTCATTGTCCTATTTCAGCTTCCTGGTTGAGGATTGTGCCACCATGCATCATTTTACATTCTGCAAAGCTTTTGTAACATGACTCTGATTATAGCTACTAGTTCTGTAGCCCTATCTAAGTTATGATCTGGCAATAAGTTTAGGGATTTCCTCATGTCTTTCCTATTTCTTAATATTTCAAGACTTGTTAGCAAATTTTTCTCCTCACTTCTAATTCTTCAAAGTCAAGATAAAAGCCAACTCCTCCAAGTCTTCTTTCTGTCTACCATTTCTGCATTTTGCACACAATTCTATGATTGCTTCCCTACATGACATTACTGTTATTTATTACCAGTCTTCTGGATTCTGAAGGAGTCGAAGGTAGCATTTATGCCTCATTCAGTTTTGTAGTGCCAGAATTTGGAAGAGAGGCAGTGGTAAATATCTACTGAATTGAGTTGTTTAGTTTATTTTAAAAAATTTAAAATCAGTATAGCCTACAGTTTAATGCTCGTAAATATCAAATGTTTCAGTAGTTAACTATAAACTCTTTTTTTCACCAGGATTTATTTTTTAATAAATCACTTTCTCTTCTCCCTCTAGACCCTCCTGGTTAACCTCCCTAGAACCCTTTCATGCTCACACTCTCAAGTTGACAGCTTCTTTTATTAGTGTTACAAACACATATATGTATTTGTACACACACACACACACACACACACACACACACACACACACACACAAGCCAAGCCAAGCCAAAATACCAGAAAGTCTGCTGTGAAACAATCTTTCCTAGGAGGATTGAGAACACACTTAAAAAAATCTTATTTATTTTGTGTGTATCAGTGTTTTTCTTGTCCATGTTTATGTGTACCACAGGCAAGCCTGGTGTCTGTGTAGGTCAGAAGAGGCATTGGGTACCTTGAAACTTGAGGAATAGACTGCTGAGAGCTGCTATGTGGGTGTTAACTTCTTTTAGAAGACAGGAAATGCTCTTAATCACCAAGCCATCTCTTTAGATCCCATTATCTACTTATTTTTATGAGCATGTGAGTGCCTGTGCCATAACACACATTAAGAGCTCAGAAGACAACCCAAGGGGGTCAGTTCTCTCCTTCTGTCATGTGGGAACCAGAACTCAGATTAGTGACAAGAGTCTTTATGGGATGAGCCATCATGATAGCCCCCGAAGTATCATTCTTAGGGTCCGTGTATATTTGTCTACTCCTTTAGCTTTTAGACAATAAACCTCCTCAAGTGTATCTAGACACTTTTTAATATGTTCATAATAATTTGTAATTGTAAAGTTTAGCAGACAGCTGTATTTTGAACATCTCAAAAGGTAAAAGCTTAACTGCAGGTTTAGCAAGTAATATTTTAAATCACATTTTTAAGCTGATATGCAAAAGACAAAACATTGCGATCATTTGTGTGGAGCTATGTTACATTTGTAAATATGGATCTGTTGTGCCATGTTCAGATCAGATTAAAAATAGCTCTTTCCTCCAATATTCATATTTAAAGATAACATGTTAGCTATTGGCTTGGATCTGAAGTAACCCCTGAATGTTCTTGATGTGAAAATTTGTCCTCAAGGCAGCAGTGTTCCGAGATGACTGGGTCATGAGAGTTCCAACTTCATTCGGGGACTCATCCGCTTAATGACCATGAGGAGATGGTGGAGACTTCAGCTGGGAAAAGGTATGTCCTTGGAAAGTACATCTTATCCTCTGTCTCTTTCTCCTCTTTCTCAACCCCGTGGACTGACAGCCCAGTCAGCTATGTACTGCACACATTAGGCAATGCACTACGCTGGGCGGCATCCCCAGCCCTCTTCCCTCCCTCCAGTTGATGTCCCTCACATATTTCATTACAGTATACCATCACAGTTGACTAACACAGCGTTCAGACTTGTTCCAACTTAACAAAATATATAGTAAATCATCATTTTGCATAATTATGCTAGGAAATAGCATAATTCTAATTGCTATCTAATTGTAACTCAATTGTTATTGATCAGCCTTCTACCATCTCTCCCTCCCCCACTTCCCAGCTTCTCACAGACCCCAGTCTCCTTGCTCCTTCTGTGTGACCACCTTTCTGGTTTCACATGTAAGTGAGATCATGAGGTGCCTGTCTTTCCACATCTGACTGATTTCACGTAACAGTGATTTCCACCCCCATCTGTATTGGCATAGAGCACAGTTTCATTCTTTTCTGTGACTAATATTTTATGATGTATTTGCATCAATTTTTCTTAGTTCATTTGTCATTTGTTGTGCTTTTAAAAGTTAACTAGGTTTTCCACATAAAGTAATAATTAGGTAAAATATGAAGTTAACACATTTTCTTCGTAAAAATATATGTGGCATACATCTGCCTGTCCTATTGGCTTACTTGTAGAGGGTGGTTATTTGTTTGTTCATTTAATTAACTTTGTGAAACAGACCATCCCTTTCAAAACTTTCCTCTCTTAATGTTGCCCATATTTTCTAGGAAATTTTACCTCTGCCATGGTGAGCAGGCTTCAATGAAGCGTTCTTCACTCTTCAAGGTAGGTAGCAGAGAAAGGCTCATAAGAGTCACTTTTGGATTTAATCTAGAGGGGGAAAACAGTTAGAGTTGGCTCATACAGTGGTGATGCCCAGATAAATTGGCCATTCCTTTTTGTCTGTACTGCTGGAGGTATTCTGTCCTTCCTTCCTGGCTCCTCCCTATTTTGTCCTCTCCATAGTCTTGCTGTCCATTTCCTTTCTGCTTAGTTATGCAGTCAGTTATTGCTTACAAAGAACCCTAGCTCCTATGACATTCAAGGTCCTTCCACCCTTTATTTGTTCTCAACCACATTATAAAATGACATCTTTGTCAACTTCACTCTTGATTCATATGGATTTTACTGTTTCTCATATGGGAAAAATTCCAGGAATCAAGTCAGCATAACTTTGTGTTACTTGCCAGATGGAGTCAATTTTGAAGTTGTCACTTCAAATCACTTTTCCATGGTCTTTTTCACCTGCCAGAAAGACAAGCTGCCTTCTAAGCAGCGCTGTGGCCACCTCTACAAGCATGGTAAACAGTTTTTTAAAGAAAGTTTCAATCTTCAGCATGGAGATAATTTCCTCGCCTTGTGTTTCTATGGCATCAGCTTTCTAAAAGCAGGATCTATTTCTTGTTTCAAAAGAGCATCTTGATAAAATAGATATGTGTCCCAGGTACCCATGCAGTCTCACAGTCTCAGAGAATTGAAGCCATTCACCTCCAGTTCCTATTTGGAAAACTAATCACTCTATCCATCTATCTATCTATCTATCTATCCATCCATCCATCCATCCATCCATCCATCCATCCATCCATCTATCTATCTATCTATCTATCTATCTATCTATCTATCATTTTTGGAGTGGGGCAATATTTAAAACCCAGGAAAAGAATAAAAGAAGCACAGTTGTATATCTTTTATAATTGTTAGAATTTCTTTTATTTTGTGCGTGTATGTGCGAGTGCGCATGCATGCTCTCCAGTGCCCATGTATTATGATGCACAGATGGAGGTTAGAGAATAACTTTTGAAAGTTGGTTTTCCCTTCCACTATGGGTTGCTGGAATCGAACCCAGATTGTAAGGCTTGCACAGCAAGTACTTTTACCCACTGAGCTACTTCTCCAGTGTCTTTCACAACTTTCACAGCATATTTCAAGGGTTTGAACTCCATCACAGTGAGAAAGAAATGGACATTACTTAGATGAAGGTTAAAAGGCGGGAAATGCTATTCTGAAGGAAATGTCTGTCATAATCGAACTTTTGAGCCACAGGGGTGAGTCAGTACTTTCCCAGGGACTCTCCAAAAACCTTTTTGTAGGTTTTAAAATACAAATGCCTTTAGAATGTCAAACTTATGTTTCTTCAAAGGGAAGCAAATCCTTCTGGAATATTAAATGGGTTTATGAAGGGAAGACTTTTGGCTAAAAGGAGATCAAATATTTTCTTTTATCAAAAAGTTCGGTTCATCACTGTGAGTGGAATAGCTGCTAAGATTACAAAGGAGCCTCGGCTGCTTCAGCTAATGATAGCATGTGGCCAATTCCATCTTCTGCCTTTGTGCTCGCTTTACAAGAGGGCTCAGCATTGGTTTTCTTTTGTACTTCTCTTTTTTGTGTGTGATTATAGAACTTGATTATTATGGGATTGAAAATTGTAGAGGTTTTTCCTACATTACATCTAACCTTGTGAGATGAAATTACCCACTGATGTTAAAAGAAACAAATGAAATGAAATGCTAAGATTTTATATATATATATATACATATATATATATATATTCCCTTTTTATGGTATCAGAAGATCAGAAGAGTAAGGATGAAGAGCATCTGAAGGAAATCCTTAAGTTGATGACAGGAGTTTCCTGAAGATAAGAAGTACCACAAGTGGAGTGCCCAATTATTCTTTCTGAGTTATGGGGGTTAGAGGGCTGGGATGGAGCTCTCTAAGAGTTGCTTCCTTCTAAAGACCTTGAGGAAAGGAATTTGCTCAGCCTACTATCACTGGCCTTTAGATACACAGTTTCTCTCACATCTTCATATGCCCCCCCCATCAGAAGGACACAAAACATATTGGCCCAGCCTAGGGTCCTCATTCTCAGTCAGTTATTTGTCTAAAGACTGTCTTTCCAAATAAAGCTTCTCTCTGAGGTAGAACTTGATCATATGAATTAGAAGGAAAATAATTCAATCATAACAAGGTGTGAAGATGGAGTTTTCTGTCCTGTCTGGTTCTACAGAAGCGTGGCCCCAAATAAACACACAGACCCTATATTAATTATAAAATTGTTGGCTGATGGCTAGGGCTTCTTATTGGCTAACTCTGTCTTAATTATTAATCCATAACTACTAATCTATGTATTTCTACATGGCCTTATCTTACTAGAGAATGCCTGAAGCATCCTGTCTTCCCAATCTCTACATGGTGCCTCTCTGCCTCTCTCCCCAGCATTCTCCTCGTCTCCTGGTCCTGCCTATCTTCCTGCTTCTACAGGCCAATCAGTGTTTTATTCATCAACCAATAAAAGGAACATATATACAGAAGGACATCTCTTCTTTTCTTTCTAAATAAAAAGAAGGCTTTTAACTGTAACATAGTAAAATTATATATACCCAAACAGTTATCAAGGAAGAACTATAGTCCATTAACATTTGGCAAAACTTACAGAAAATATTCTATCATCTGTCATATCTTTGAGAGTCTAAAGTTTTATATGTAACTTACATTTTATTGTAACTAAGGAAAGCTATAACCATAACTATCTGTCTTTAACTCCATCAAAGACCTCAGACAAATAATATATAACCTCTAGTATTGACAGAGATATCTCACTGCCTGAACAGTTAGCCAAAATTCCTCAGTAATATTGGAGCATACATCTTCAGCCCATAGGCCATAGTGTGTCTGTCAGACTTCTCAGTGAAGCAGAAAATTTGAAACAGAAGCTAAGATAAGCGATTAGTTGGAGGGGGTCTGCACAAGAAGCTAATGTTAGTTAGGTCGTGCAGGGGTGGGGGTGGGGGTGAGGGTGAATCTTGACCTTGGGTTTCTAGAATAGTGCTTGGTAATTTTCCATGGGAGTCTCCATCAAGAAGATCGTATTGTTGTTAAAATTGAAATATCCTCAGTGAGAATACAAGATGGAGGAACCTCTGTACTGTTTTGTCCTGTCACAGTATGCTGAAAAGAAAGTGCTAAAAATAGATTCTTATACCTGAGAAAGTCATCTGACCCTTGCTTCCCTGTTTACAAAGTGAGGACTCCAGCTTTGATTCTATTTCTTGGTACCAATTTCTGTAGAATGGTGAATACAATGGTATGTGACTGGTTCCATTCACCTCTCTTGCCTCATTCTTACACAGTCTGCCTCTCTCTGGAGCTTCTAAGGAATCTGGGTGGCTGTGGAAGTCTTTCTTCCTTTTCTGTCACACATTTGTACCTTTGCTCAGGTTGTTTCCTATTTGGGATGTTCTCCTTTGTTATTTTATTTTCGCTGTCAGACTTTTACTTGGTCTTTAGCTCAGATATCTGTTCCCACAAGCCCATTCGTGAGATCTTGGGCTTAAGTAAAGATTATATTTTTACCATTTCTGAAGAACTGACTGTGCTATAGATTGTAGACATCTTTGTCTCCCTGGTGACCACACAAATGCCCCACTTACAGGAAACATTTAGAAAATGAAGGAGGGGATGAGTTCACTCAAATGACTACAAACAAGGTAGGAGGCAGCAGGAACCTCCAAGCTACCTCTCTTACCCTCCTGCCTGGCAGGTATTCATGGCTCTAAAACACAGTCCAGAGCAAGGTGTTCCAGAAGTATGTGGCCTAGAAACTCCACTGCCAATTAGAAATGGTGCTCTCTGGACACTGTATTCCCAAGCTCATCTTTTCTCAGCCACATTTACTTCTGCTACATTGTGGACTCTTTTTGATATGGTGGAGGAGGAATGGAGAAGTAGACTAGAATTCACACAGCACATATTTTTATTCTTTCTCTTTTGGGAGTGTTTATAAAGACATTGCTGACAGGAACTGCCAGGAAGAATATTTTCAATAGAAAACAATTCATGTTTTCTTAAACATTATCCTCTCTACCTTATTATTCTATTAATTCTTCCCTAAGTACTGGTTGAATCCCTGTTATCTCTGGGGGAGGATGTGATGAGGCAACTCATAGAAATATGAGAGTTTTCAAGTTCTTTTAACACCCACAAACTCTGCAGTGAGGAGGGAATTCTTAGAACAGGGAAAGTTCCTTGAAGAATTGTGCTTTGCAGAATGTGTTAGTCCCAAAGATGGGAGAAGAATGACCAGCAACCCAAATAACATGGCCAAATTAATTAAAGCAAGCTGCTTTTTATTTGTGTACAAGGGCTGCCTCCCCCTATTGTAGGGCTTCAGAGGTCAGCATTGGACATGAGGAAGACAAGGTTTTTATAGCTCAGGTGTAGGAAGTTTCTAAATGGGGCATTTAGTGGGCAACAGGAATAGAACCTAAGCATAATAAGGACATAAGGACCTCCTGGAATAAAGACATGACTCCAAGGTGGTCATAACAAGGTAGTTGCAATGACAGGAGGTCATAATAAAGTTTTGAAACAAAGGTAGGGTTGCAAGATGATTATAACAATTTTTGAAACAAAGACATGGTTGCCATCTCCTGGAACAGGTGGTATAGAATCACATGTAGTTAAGGTTGCAGGTGGGGCGTAGCACAAAACTTGAGAAACGGGTTTAATCATAAACAGGAATGAGCCTAGTTTGTTTTCCCTATAAGATGGCTTATAAGTCTAAGATGTAGGCAGCCTGGTTCATTAGGTATAAATTAATTATCCTGGGATTTGAGCAAGAAGAAAGTAGAACAAATATTCTAATTAATTAATTAGTTAATTTCTTTAGCCCAATCACAGTGTCCCCTCCTTCTCTCTCAGGTCGTTCCCCAACCACCATCCCCTATCCACTCCTCCTCCTTTCTTTTCAGGAAAATGTAGGCCTCCCAAGTATATCAACAAAATATGGCATATCAAATTGCAGTAAGACTAGGCACCTCCTCTCCTATTAAGGCTGGATGAGGCAACCCAGTAGAAGG